GTAATGCTGCCCTTGTTTGATCCTCATTTTGGAGAAAATAATACATTTTAAATAATAGACTGATGAATAATGTGTCGTTAAAAATTAAAGAAAAGTTTTGGATTTGTGTGTAATATCATTTTATTGAAGAATTTACAGTTGCAAATGAATTTTGAAAAAATAAATTTCTAGAAGAATGAGAATCAAATGAGGGGATAATTTCAATCATTATCATTCTTGTTAAGTGTACCTAGGGATGTCAACGAGTCGAGTCGAGCTAGCTTGCGAGTTGAAACTTGATGCTCGAGCTCGACTCGATTAAAATTATCGAGCTTTTTTTGGGCCCAAATCGGGCCGAGCAAAAGCTCGTCCAAAAATTTTAGGCTCGATCCGAGCTTTCGGTTCAGGCCTTCCGAGCCAAGCCGACCCTCTCTCTCTCTCCTCTAATAAGATGTTGCCTTTTTAAGGCAGTGTTTGCTGGCATTTTATTGCCACAAGTTATATATATATATATAATAAAGGCTTGTGGGCTCACGGGCCTGCTCGAGCAAACCCGTGTCTCAAAAATGGGGCTCGGCCCGAGCCTTGGCTCGGGTCTACCAAGTCGGCTCAGGCTTTTCGCGGACCGAGCGACAGGCGACTCGTGCCGACAAGCCCGATTGACATCCGTAAGTGTACCCAAAACCGCTCGATTAATCTCTTCATCAATTTTCATTAGAATATTTAAAGGGTGTTCGACATTCCTAACATTTTTCTAGCATCAACTAGAAATGGTTTTGCGTAATTTATCAATAAATTAATAACTATTCATATATTGATAAATTAATAACTACACTAAGGTAATAATTTATCTCGTTTCCAACATTATTATTTGGATAAATTGCATATGGGGTTCTGAACATTTGAGTATTGTGACGATAAGGACCCAAACTTTTGATTTCTAGTATCTAGGGTCTCAAACCTTACAAGACTAAGGTTCTTTTGTGACATAAATAATAAGTTTGGCCATTAGAAGGTCAAAATTTGAATGAAATGATAATTTCACCCTTATTTTGATTTATATAGTAAATTGCACCTGAGGTCCTAAACCTTTGAAGATAGTGATGATGTGGTCTTAAATCTTTGATTTACACCATTTCGGATCCTAAAGTATAATCTTGTGATGAAAACACATCATTTTGACTGTCACACGGTCAATGCATTACAATTGTGATATGAGTACTAAATTGAAGATGGATGGCATGGATGTCGCATCTTCTCAAAATTGATTCTTGAAGATATAAATTTCAGTCCAGATAGGCTTGTGGCCCATGGACTATATGAGCTTTGAAGAATATTGACAGAAACAGCACTAAAATGGTTCCATTCGACTTTTGCATATGAAATATTATTTTTTATTATTAAAACTAGATAAAAAATAATAATTTATCTCAGCTGTGAATTATTTAAGAGATACAAATAACAAAACTCGATGTTTATAAAGGCTATTAAAAAAAAAAAAAAAAGCTTGAGAGTACAATATATTTTGATTTCTCAAGATAGAGAAAGTAGAATGTCAAATAAGTCATGGTTTAGACAATTCCAATAGTCCTCATGCATTTTATATAAGTGGCATATAGATGAGAATGTGTAAACTTGACTTTGAAAAATTAATAAAAGTTTGTTAGTTAATATTAATAGAGAGCGAGTGCTCATCTTAGAAGGATTCAATGATGCTTAGACTTAGCACGTAGATTGTTTTGTTGATAAAATTGAAGTATAGTTATGACTTTTTTGGTTTAGTTAAAAATTGGATTAAAGTTTAAGTCAAAACCAACAATTATTTTTACCAACACGTCTCATATGAGTTACAGCTTTTCGTTCATATATTTTTATCAAAAATTACTAAGCCTTTATTTGATAGAGATTAAAATCAAAATTTTAACAAATTTTGATAAAAGTTGATGAAATTTGTAATTGAAAGGTTGTGACCCTCATGTAAGCTATAGTAAAACTTAAATGTTGACTTTGATTTAAAATTTAATTAAATATGGGCTAAAAATCTATTTTAACAACCAAATAGGCTATGTAAAAACAAGCTCGACTTAACTATCAATTGATATAAAATCTCGACTCAAGTAGGCACCTCAGCTTGCAATCCAAAATATCGAGAATTCGGGAGGGAAAAGGAAACAAAAAAATAAAATAAAATGGTCGCGTCAACGTTGTGTCTGATTCTTTTCTCACTTTTAGGCCTTGTTGGAGCCATATTTTTTGGAAAAAAAAAATACATTCTTAAACAATGATTTGACATCAATTCAATCACACATTTTTCAATAAAATAATATTATACATAAATTCAAAATTTTTTCTTATTTTTTAACCACACATTTTTTATCAATACACTATTCAAAAATATATTTTCCTATGAATAATGTGGCTCAAACAAGGGCTTAGACCATGACGATCAAGTCAAATCTTGAAATGGGTCAACTAAACTAGGTCCAAAATGATCCAATCTCTAGAGCTCATAATGTATGGACGGCTTTTAATAGAAAAATTAACAGTGCTAATTGTACAGAAAAAGCTTTACACCCTTCTTGACAAAATAGGCACAAGAAGCGGTGGGGGCTTCGATTTTTTGCATTTTTTATTCGTGTGGGGTCTGCTCGAGCCCCACGCGAATATGAGTATCTATCATCCAACATGTCAAGCATTTTCCGATAAAGGAGCTTTATTCAAGAAAAATTCTAGTGTTTTGTTACTCAAATGTCCCGGCCCCTATTTGTGCAGCAAATTTCAAAATTCTAATCGCAAATGTTGCGTCCGTACGATGCATGCACAGAAAACTTTGAACCTTCATGATGAGTGTTTTGTTTCACGTCAACCATAGTGTTAAAGTATTTTGTTACACGTTTGATCAGATTTTTGAAAAATCAAAAATTATTTTCAAATTTATTTTGGTAATTTTTAAAAAGTAATTTATTTAATGAAAAGATATTTTAAAGAAAACCGATTTAAAATGACTTTTCTTTTTAAAAAAAACATTTGACAAGAAGTAAAGATCTTCCTCAAGTTGCGGCCTCTCAAATTAGGAGCAACTTTCACCAAAAATGTGAATTATTACAAAATATGAAGAGACCTAGTTCCAATTGGATAAGTTCAAGTTTCATCCAAACACCAATTTTTTCTCCTTCTCAATTATTAAACGAAATCAATAGAAAAAATTTAGTAAGTTGACATTTGATACCTCAATGGAATATTAGTTTATATTCCACAAGTAATTTATACGAGGGAAAAATTTATAATTCAGGTGTATTGTTTACATCAATTCAAAACTCAGGTATATAGTTTGAAATTTAAAAATTCAAGTATATATTAAAGTATTTACTAAATAAAGATAATAAAGTCACAATTACATGATTAATGGTCACAAATTCGTAATTATAGATAACAGATTTATTTACTGGTCACAAATCAAAAATTTTGTAAGTCACAGATAAAAAATTTACAAGTCACAGATTATTTCAATTCATAATTAATTGGCCACAAATTGTCAAATTCTTAGGTCACACTTAAACAATTGGTCACAGATAACTAAATAATTGGTCACATGCATCAAATAGTGGTCATATATCACCATCACCAACACTATCGCACCGCCACTGCCATCACGACCACTTGCGACCACCCTCGCCACATTATCGTTGCCGCCTCCACACCAGCACCACTAGATCAAATCAAATGCGAACAAAAATCAAGACAGCTACATACACCAACAACCACCTCCGTCGTCAAAAGCCACCACGACTGCCACCATTAAACACACCAACAATACCTAACCCAGAACCTCATCAACACCACCCACATCACCACTGCTAACACGAACACCTTCACCACCGCAAGAAACCACCACGATTGCCACCACCAAACACACCAACTACACAACCCACAACCTCATCACCGTCTCCATCGCCAACACGACCACCTCTTCTTTATGACCACAACCACCCACCATTACACATCGATGAATGCAATGCCACTGTACAGCAGTGCTAACAACGAAGGACTACTGCGCATAGTAGTAGTTGGGGTGGTTGCAATGAGCGCCGCATCGCTGCACCGAAATCTGAACATAGACCTCACAAGCATCGCCATCTAAAGTTTGCAACTGTAGATATCGTCGTCGCATTGTCATCACCACTGCAGCACGAGATCTGAAGCGGCGACTACAACTCGGTCATTTGCAGTGGTCGATACGCGACCAGAACCTCCATCACCGACGCCGCCCTCAAACCCATTTATTGCCCCTATTGTCACTGTGTGTTTTTAGAGATAGAGAAGAGAGATGGGGAAATGGGTTTGAAATTGGTGGATATATTTATTTATTAATACCTGATTTATGAATAATTAAACTCGACCCCTGATTTTTGAATTCTAATATTTAAACACCTGGAGTTTTGTAATTTTCTCTTTATATGATTACAATTGGGGATTAATTCATTTTGGAAGATCAAAATAAATGAGCTCAAGATATGTAAACAAGGTGATTGATAATTAATTATCTTGTATTAAAATATCTTGAGTCGAGAAATAATAAGATAAGTATACATTAACGTCTCTATACTGAAACAAACATTAGTATGTGTTATGATGGTGCAAAGCGCTTTCATGGCCCGATCTTCAATAGACGTTTGTAGTATTAAACTATAATGTTAATCTATCAATGATGCACAAAATACTTCACTTTTTTATCAAGAATTATCACGATTGAAATTGAATGTCTCAGATTAAAAGCATGTGCACAAAGTATTCATAAACGGTTAAAATTATAAATAGATAAAAATAGGTAATGAATAAGTAATGATTTTAACAAATTATTTAATAGTATCTATTATTTATCTATCTTAAATAAGTCATAATTATCACCATGTTCCATCCCTTGCACATATAAAAATTGGGAAAAAAAAAAAAAGAAATCCCTCAAAATAATTCCGAAATTAATATTATAAATCAATCATTCAGGGAAGAAAGTAGTTGGATAATCAATACAAAAATGATAATTTCATTAATGAAGCTTTCGTTATTGTATATATTTTTTCCAAATAATGTTTGTTGTCAATTGCTGCACTCCATACATGCACCCGTACAATTAATTTCTCTATAATGGATACTAAAAAAAGTCAAAATACAAAAAGTCTACGCCAATTTTTCGGATTTATTTATTTTGGTTCATGAAGTCAATTTTCTTGAGTGAAGGAAATTCTCTTTTGTTGAATCACGAGATTTTAAGTATTCTATGAAACTCGCAAAATTTGTGTCCATGTAATGCCTTGGATTTGTTTCACTAACGAGTTTGGGACATGGTTGCACTATGCTTTTGAAAGGAAGGCAATGCAGAGAAGCCACTGAAATCCTGTAATCCATCGGATTCACAAGTACTTTATGCAGAACGCTCTTGAACCTCCCGTTGCTAAATATCTGGTCATAACATACAAAAATATAATGTTAAGAGTTGTATCATAACTTCTGAAAAATAGTAAACTGTACTCTACATCTTTTCTCTTACACATCGGGATCCTAGGTTCTACAATAAACCCTCCGTGCTTATGGTTTATGGGTTTCCATAATATTAAAGATTTTAAGAGGGATGTTAAAATGGGGAATGATAAATCTTTCAAGATGGTTTTTCATCATAACATTTAAATTAGGGTTTTGCCACTTTGTCAGAAGATTTTAACTAATTCTTTGACATTATTTGAAGTGGTAGAGGATGATTTGAAAGGAAAGCTGACCGTGTTTAAAATAGTTCAATAATATAACACCATGTGACGCTACGTCAAACTTTATGTCAAAAAATCTAACACTGTAGCATGCTTATTTATATTAAACCCCTGTTTTGTTTAGGTAAAAATAAGATTTTAGTATATTTTTTAAAAGTTGATAAAATGTTTGGTTAAAAAGTTGATAAAAGTTATAGATTCTATAAAATGTGTGGTGAAAATGAGTTTTAGAGAAATGGCACCGAACAGGGACCAAGTGTGAACAATGTTTACTTGGCGTGTTTCTCACTTCGTTTTATTTATTATCGTTTGTGTAGTTAACGCTTTCAAGTCGTTGAATAAATGTGTTAAATACATGTACATTATCAAATGTACCTCAAGATGATCTCCAACATTGACGACAAAGGATCCTGGAATGGGTTCAACTGTAACCCAATTTTCCTTGTGCTGTATTTGCAATCCCTTGACTTCATCTTGGAGGAGAAGGGTGAGGAATCCATAATCAGATCATCTGATTCACAAGTACTCTATGCAGAACACTCTTGAACCTCCCATTGCTAAATATCTGGTCATAACATACAAAAATATAATGTTAAGAGTTGTATCATAACTTCTGAAAAATAGTAAACCGTACTCTACATCCTTTCTCTTACACATCGGGATCCTAGGTTCTACAATAAACCCTCCGTGCTTATGGTTTACGGGTTTCCATAATATTAAAGATTTTAAGAGGGATGTTAAAATGGGGAATGATAAATCTTTCAAGATGGTTTTTCATCATAACATTTATATTAGGGTTTTGCCACTTTGCCAAAAGATTTTAACTAATTATTTGACATTATTTGAAGTGGTAGAGGGTGATTTGAAAAGAAAGCTGACCGTGTTTAAAATAATTCAATAATATAACACCATGTGACGCTATGTCAAACTTTATGTCAAAAAATCTAACACTGTAGCATGCTTATATGGGCCCCGTTTGGTAGGGATTTTTTGCCCAAAAAAACTGATTTTTTGACCGTTATTTTACTATTCAAGCCCTAATTTTTGACTTCTTCTCTTATATGTGGACCCCACTTTTCTTCTAACGGTCAAAAAATCAATTCTCAAAATCCCTACCAAACGGGCCCATATATTAAACCCATGTTTTGTTTAGGTAAAAATAAGATTTTAGTATATTTTTTAAAAGTTGATAAAATATTTGGTTAAAAAGTTGATAAAAGTTATAGATTTTATAAAATGTGTGGTGAAAGTGAGTTTTAGAGAAATGGCACCGAACAGGGACTAAGTGTGAACAATGTTTACTTGGCGTGTTTCTCACTTCGTTTTATTTATTATCGTTTGTGTAGTTAACGCTTTCAAGTCGTTGAATAAATGTGTTAAATACATGTACATTGTCAAATGTACCTCAAGATGATCTCCAACATTGACGACAAAGGATCCTGGAATGGGTTTAACTGTAACCCAATTTTCCTTGTGCTGTATTTGCAATCCCTTGACTTCATCTTGGAGGAGAAGGGTGAGGAATCCATAATCAGAATGAGGTGGCATTCCCAGTGTCAAATCAGGTTGTGGACAAGGAGGGTAACAGTTCAATACCATTAGCTGGCTTCCATCTTCGAATTCTTTTAATATCTCTTCGTCTTCGTCTTCATCCTCTTCTTTATTTTTGTCCTCGTCCTCGTCGTTCTCTTCTGTCTTATTCTTCTTGTTCATTAGCCCAAGGCTCTCTAGGATGGCATCCACTAGCATTAGGAACAAGAACTTGACTTCTTTAGCATAACTAACAGCCAATTTCCTGTTTAAATATTAAATAATTAAATTAACCAATCAAAACCTGTTCACAATAGATGTATATATCATGTAAAAATACAATAATTTTGAAAATTAGTTACCATCAATTAAAACTCAACCACTCTCTTTGTTACATATTAAACCCTAATTCCAACTTAGAAAAACAATAATAAATCTAAAATAGAATCGAAGGCAAGCAACGAATACACACTGATTTATAGTGATTCAGCATTCATGAGAGACCAATCTTCATTTTATAATTTTTTACTATAGTGAAAAAAAATGGAGAGTATAATGTGGTAACGTCGTCTTCGATATTTTGTCGTTTTTCTCGTAAATAATGTTGCAGCTCTTACCTAAAATCCAATGGAGAAGAAGGCCAATGAGGAAGGGCATCCGGTAGGGGGTGACAAACCAATTTGAGAAAGTCCCTCCAGCAAAAGACATCATCATTTGTCTGATTATAGCTTGTTCCATATCGAACTGGCGAACCCATATCTGCTGACATATATTTCTCTCTTTCTGAAAATGGAAGCTCAAAAAACCTTTTGCTCACATCTACCATGTTGCTTGTAATCTCGTACGGAATACCATGATTCAACAGCTGCATTTATCCAAAAGATTAACAAACTATTTGCCTACACTTATATGCATTTTGTTAGGATTTTGGGTTCCATCTTAAATTACCGGCCTTATTAAGATGGATAGTCTTATCTTTTATAAGTTGGTCTATATTTTCATCTTAATTTTATTCAATGTGAAATTTTATCCCTTAATATGCCCCTACAAGATGGTTAATGAGCACTGATACTATATTAAGACTTGAGGTTCCATGTTAAATAATTAACCATTTAAAAGGAGTAGTAGCTCAATCCTCTTATTAAGATTGACTTTTAAGATAGAACATCAAATCTCAACATAGCCCTTGTTTTGATCCCCATTTTGGGAGAAATAATAAATTTTAAATAGTAGATTGATGGAGAATGTGTGGTTAAAAATTAAAGAAAAATTTGAATTTGCATATAATATTATTTTATTAAAAAATGTGCAGTTAAAAATGAATTTTTAGAAAATTGAGAATGAAACAAGGGCATAATATTAGAGCTCATTAAACTCAAACGAGTCATTCGATCCGATTATGACTAAAAAATTGAGTACACAGGTGCCCAATAACATTTTTTTAAGGTGTTTTTTTTTATATTTTTTTTTGGGTAAGAAACAAATTTTTAATGCTTAAATTTTTTTTTTTCGTGCGTAGTAGTCCGGTTTGAAATTTTGTAATCCGATCTTGAATCCAATTCCGGATCTGTCCTTAAATCTGCTCAAAAGAGCCAGTTTCTTGCGAGGCCATATTATCAAAGGATAAATCCCACGTTGAATAAAAATGAAGATATAAACCAACATATAATGAGTTGGGCTGCTGACCTTTTAAGATAGAATTCCAAGTCTAAAACATTCAGCGTATTGAGAATAACTTACCTGGAAGAATCCATAGTTTTCACAGGCAGAGGCAAGAGAATTAAGGACTTCAGACCGATTAGGACCCTGTAATTCGGCAAAATCAATGATTGGCAGCTCAAGATTGAAATTGTCAGCACCATGTGATCTTTCATTTACAAAGTTGGGACGATCTGAAGCTGGCAATATGTACTTCTTAGGAACGTGCTCAATTCCATTCTCGAACAGATATTTTACTCCTTTCAGGTATTGGATTTCCAGGGAATCATAATCAGCTTTCCTACTTTCTTCTGGCAATACCATTGCTCTAGAAGTTGACAGACAACAATGTAATAAACAAGATTTTAGTTAATATGGTATGGAGACCGGGAGGGAATCTGAATTAGATGCTCACCTGGCCAACTCTTAATGGGAAGAGAGTGTAAATTAAAATGGAAATGGGGTTGTGAGAATTAAGAAAATTAATGGAGATATATATAGAGGGAATAAAGCGAGTGAAACAAAATCTAGTTTTCAGAAACCATTGAGAAATTCTTTAAGAGCGATAGGTTTTGTAGGGACAGGAGACGCGCTCCACAGACGATCACCAATGTTCAACAGTCATCTTTCACAGGACCCACCCCTACCCCACCCCCTCAGTGGCCGACCTATTTTCTTTTTTCTCGTGTCTATTTTTCTTTTCAAATTGTGCTATGTGTACACAATGGTGTACACAAAGCATTACACCTCCTCAAATGGAAGGGGATCCATATATAATAAAATATTCGTGAACCCCTTTCATGTGAGGAGGTGTAATCTATTGTGTACATATAAAATAATCCTTTTCTTTTTCCTTTGGCCATCGCTACTATTCAAATCTTCAAAACAGTTAACTGATTCGAGACTGTTTTATATTAATTACTTTGAGTCTTGAGAGTCGGAAACACACGTGATCAGTTCCCCAGAGACAAATGTTAGACACAATAATTAGCTCCCGTTTGCCCTCATTAAATTAAATTTCATTTTTCTCTCTTATTTTCAATTACACAATTTTTTATAAAATAATATTATATGGTAAATTGAAAAAATTTCCTTCTTTTTCAATCACTCATTCTCCAAAAAAAAAAAAAAGAAAAAAAAATTCTATTCTTTCCATTTTAATTTGAAAAAATAGGGGCCAAACGGGGGCTTAGAGTGCACTTCTTGTAAGAAATGAATGACATAAAAAAGTCAAAATTGATTTTCAAATAATTTTTTGATAGTGTTTTGTCTGATTAGAATAGTTTAAATTAAGTTAACTTAAGATAATCTTCTCAGAAAGTTCTTCTTTATAAGAAGTAAATCAAAAGCAGAAACTCTGTCAAACAAGCTGAAAGTCTGTTTCACAATTTAAGGTTAATTTGATTGTGACACTCAAAAATAAATGTTTTTTCTAGGACTTTTTATCATTGTATTAATCATATACAGATGAAAACTCCATATAATTTCGAAGGAAAGGAGTTTGTAAATTCTCATGGTGCTGCAGAAAATTTTGAGAAGTAATTGATCGTTACTCCAGGTGTAGTTATATTCTCCTGTAGAATTGTAAGATAAAAATGTTAGTGGGAAAAAAAAATAATGTAATTTTTTTTATTTAAAAAATTATTCTTGTCCCATGTCGAAGATAGGTGGCTGGGGAAAAAACCTCTTCTTGAGTGAAGTCTTTGTCCAAAGTTTGGTGATGGCCGTGTTGCAACCGTGTTGGCGTGTAGATGTTTGATTCATTCTGTGTCTTCAACTTTTTAGTCTATACTCGTATGTTATTACGTGTTCACTCGCAATTCTTGACTAATTCATTGAATCAATTAGAGTTTCACATCAAAGGACTGAAGTTTTAAAAAATCTCGAGAATTTATGAGAACATATAGAAATTTAAGTTACAACTTTGCTAGTAAAGAAAGATACGTCAATTCAAGAGAATTTTATATATATTAGGGGAAAGTATTAAGCCCTATTTGATTTAATTAAAAGAAAAAGTGTGTAGTGCGGATCCCTAACTTTTTTAATTTTACAAACTTATTCTAACTTTCACTTTGTGGGAAAAGAGATTTCTAACCTTTCAAAAATATGTATTTGGAGTCCAAATGGATGAAATCCACACACTTGACTATTAGTTGACCAAATGAAATTGATTTTGACCAAATTGTAAAAGAGCAACTTGTGACTTAACAATTTTAATATAAAAAATAAAAAATTAAATAAAAAAAAGATATAAATTAAAACATTCTCTTGTATTTATTTCTTCCCACCCCATTCTACCCCAACTACCCAAAAATAGGGAAATCCAATCTCGTCACCATCGCCACCTAATACTGATCATGCCATCCTCGGAGTGTCATGCCACCGTTGTTTTTTCCACCTCTCACAAACTCCTTTTCTCATCGTCTTTCACGTTTTCTCCCTCATTACAGCTCTAAATTTTCACTTACACCCGTCGTTGTTACCATCGTCCCTCCCTCTAACTGACTCTACAAATATGTCCAATAAAGTCAACGATGATTGATATTTTGAGGGTAATACGCTTGTTTGAAAGGTGACGGAAGGTGTCGAGGTCAAGGTGGAAGCTTGCGATAAAAATGGAGGGGTCTTTTGTTGCAAAGGTATAGGGGAGAAAGAGTGTTGTTTGTGAATGAAAGTTCTTGATTTTAAGCTTCACATGGCATGGGGTGGTGGGCTTGTCAACTTCAGCCAGACCCATTGATTTGGTGGCGAAAGGAAGTTTAAGGGTCAACAGATCATCAAATCAATATAGAGGTTGATTTGGGGGCTTTTGCTTTGTGTTGTGATTGTGATTGTGATTGTGATTTGGGGATTTTGTTTTGTGTTAGCAGTGATAGTAGTGCCCATAGACAATGGTGGCGATGGGGCACCTACTGGCGCTGTGGATGGTGGTAGATAGCAAGGGCTTGGTTTTGGGTTTTGCTTTGTGTTGTGATTGTTATCTAGGGATTTTACTGTGTTTGTGGTAACTGTGGTCGTTGTGTGCTATAGTGGCGACGGCTATGGTGGCGACAACGTCGACAATGGGAGGCTGTAGACAACAATGGATAGCACGGCTTTGGTTTTGGGTAGGGATAGAGGTGGGTTTGGATGGGGTTGACTAAGCCAAACTAAAAATTACCCCATGGATAGGGGTGGAAGATGATAATGATTTTTTATTTAATTATTTTAATTGCTTTTATTTGAAAAGAGAATGAGTTATCATTTTATTCTTATAGAAATAATTAATAATTTGATCAAAATCATTTTCTTGGTCAACTAAAAAAAATGCAGAAGGATTTTAGACTTCTATTTTTAAAAGATTAAGAATCTCCGTTGTCATAAATTGAATGTTAGGATAAAGTCTACAAAAATTGAAAATGTTAGAAATCGCTACTGGAATTTTTCGTTAAAAATTTGATGAAAATTTAAATCAAAATGAACAATTGATTTTAATTAAATATTTGTAAGATCCACAACTTTTACTAACTTTTCAATATCACATTTCATCAAATTTTACCATTTTAAAAAAAAAAGAAATAATCTAATTTTTAACTAAACAAATAACAGGCTAATATCCATTTATTATGTATCATGTCTTTCTATAACTTTCATGCCGTCAATGATACAATGTGTTCATACAATATCATCAAAAGTGTTGAACTCGCGAAATGGACCTCTACGTAGCCAATCGAGAGCCATTCCACGTCTTCCTCCCTGCACACAACAACGTACAGTTAGGAACACACAGCAAGAACCAATGGGGGTGGTGACGGCCGCGTACATTCCGACGGTCAAGTCAATGGTCGATGATCGGAACGGTGCCGAAATTGTGCAAGAGAGTAGGGGAGGAGAATATAGTATATTTAAGTTTTATTACCTTTACCTCTTGCCAAACCTTAAGTATTTATAGATAAGGAGTACCGTTGGATGCGGAACACGTGTATGCATCTGACGGCGTGAGACGTCTGCTCGAAGACATCAATCAACTTCGTCTAGAGTGGGCGGGTTATTAATTCCCCTGGACTGAGTTGATATAAAGTTGATATCATATCAACTAGACTCATGGAGATGTCACATCTATAGAGGATTTTGACAGAGATATGCTTCTGAAATTGGTGACGGAAGTGTCTATTAAGGGAACACCTCGGATAGACAAGCGCGTCAGTTACAGGGGGCGCTTCGGTAGCTTCAATAGATTTAGTTTATAGTGTATGCCTTGCGGTGCATCGAGTTAGAGTTCGACTAAAGTGACACCACTTCGGAACCACGTCGTTGGGACATGTGGCACTCCGTAGACAAGAGGGACACTATTTTCAAAGTGGTTTAGTGCGGGGTGTAACAGTGGTTCCCCCAAGTTCAAGCATTAATACTCATATCATGGGTGGACTTGTTTATCTAATTGTGCGGACCTTACAAGGAGATTTGCAGTATCTGGTGAAGTGTTAACGTTAAAGCGTGAAATGAGTAGATGCGTCAAAGGCTTTGTGGATGGATTGTATTGTTAAAGTTGAAGCGACGCTGGTAGGGGCTCATCTTGGTTGGTAGTTCGTTAAATCGTGAATGGTCGTAAATTTTTGGTTGAGGCGTATGAGCCATGATGCTGGGGGCTTAGGGAGCTTATTTGCAACTAGTGCGTTGACCCATAGGGGATAACGCATTGGGAAATGGCTTGAGCTTTGTGAAGTTGCGTCGAAGCGCTGACAAGCTGAGGAAGAAGCGTATCTGCAACTGGTGCGTTAACCCACAGGGGACGAAGCGTTGGGAGATGGCTTAAACTTTATAAAGCTTGGAGACGCAGCATCCAACGTGAAGAACCTCAGGTGCCTTGAAGCTCTGAAAAGCTGGGAAAGAAGTGTATTTGCTACCGGTGCGTTGGCCCACAGGGAACGACACGTTGGAAAATGGCTTAAGCTTTGTAAAGCTTGGAACGCAGCATCCGAGGCGAAGAACATTAGCTACGTTGAAGCTCCAAAAAGTCGAGGAAGAAGCGTACTGCCACCGGTGCGTTGGCCCATAGGAGACGACGCGTTAGGAGATGACTTAAGCTTTGTAAAGCTTGGAGACACGGTGTCCGAGGTGGAGAACCTCAGGTGTGCTGAAGCTCTGAAAAGCTGAGGAAGAAGTGTATCTGCTACTGGTGCGTTGACCCACAGGGGACGACGCGTTGGGCGATGACTTAAGCTTTGTATAGCTTGGAAATGCAGGGTCCAAGGTGAAGAACTTCAGGTGCGTTGAAGCTCTGAAAAGCTAATGAGTGCTTCATCCGAGGTAAATTGGGACAACTTGTCCCTGATCTGAAGCGTCTTATTATAATGTTAATCGATGTGACAGCTATCACGTATTTTCAAGGCGACAGTTGGATGTGATGCCTGTTCCTAGAAAAGGGCTACTGCGACTACTTATTGTTGATGGCTATTGTTGTTCAAGGTGACGCGTTTTATTCGTGCGTGAGGGACACAATCAGAT